ATCTGAACATAAAACCACGACCCGGGTTAATTCATGGTTGGCATAAGCGTCAATTGTGTTTTGATTCCAACGGTGAAGAAGATGAACATAGTAGGCGATGGGCTCAGCATGGACTTTTGTGCGAGATAGCGTTTTAAAATGAAGAACTTTTGCGGTCGAAGTGTTCTTTAGATAAAAGTTGTGATACGACGATGGTAGGTTCATGTGGGCAACTTAAGGACAAACATTAGAGATTTGTGAAGTTAATAATTGGGTTGCCTAGTGTATTCGATCATGAATGATTTTCGCTAACATATAAATCTTAGCGGTTAGGGATGGAATAGAGTAATGTGTAAAGTTAAGGAAATGATGTATTACCGAAGATGTTTATGTATATGTGTTCTACGCAGGGTGTACTCTTAGGATGTTTAGAATAGATTATGAGTGCTGGTCTGCGGTTATTGTTCCGACCATTAAAAAGAGGGAGAAACTTTGTATTCGGGTGCGTTTAAGTTTTTTTTTGTTCCGACCATTGAAAATCGGTGTTTTAAATTTTTTTAACCTTTTTTTTGTTTTCCAAGCAAAATCAGCTATCACAAATAGTCAACGGACAAGATTGAGTGATATATCATAATAAGGCTCTTTAAGTCGTAATTCGAACGACATTAAAAAGTTTTCACTGTGCTGGATAAAAAGCTGTCGTCTAAAAGTAATTTCGAATATAAAGAATTTTTGGCCTTTAATCGGCTCAAAACACACAAAGAATTTCGTTAATCAGACGACTTTAAACAGCGCCGATATTAAGCGTGTGAGTGCGTTCGCACTTTGGCAAAACACGGTTTTGACAGACGAAAACTTGTCAATCAAGATTGGCCAAGGCAGTTTTATGAACTAGTTAAAATAGCTAAATAAAACAGAAAAGGTATTTTGGTGGGGTCGAACTCGGCTACTGAGTGTAAGTTTTTGTCCCATCAAGTTCGGCGCATATTTGAGTTTTAGAAAAGGAATGGCCTCGGCGGGATTCAAACCTGCGCCAAACCCGCCGGGATGCACTGTGCATACGCTCGGCTACTGTCCTTGTGTGCAACTATAGTTCAAGCTTGTATTATATGCATTTGTTCCTAATTTACTATTTGCTCAGCAACATTCACAGTGTCGAGAAAAACCGGTTTGAAATATTTGATTTTTGGTCTAATTTCGAGCTAATTAGAAAAGTAGTTAGTAATTGCAATAGCATATTTAGGCTTAATTTCAGCCGTGAAAACTTTTTTTTTCAAGTAAAAGTATTTTTTGGAGTTTTCTAGCGCGCAATATTGGGAATCAAAAATTTGACCGTTCAAAAAGCTTCCGCCAAAAATTTTGAAAAATTTTTGATTTTTTTTTTCAATTTTGTTCGTTCTTCTAACCAGCTCTCTTCAAACACTATTTTCCAATTGACTAATTTTACTATGATTCTCAAACATGCCCTTATTCTATTTTTTCGTTCGGATGTTTTTGTCACAACATGCAGAAAAAACGCCACCAATTTGAGAAAATATTTTTGTATTTTTTTAAGACGTGGTCGGAACATTCTGTGTTACTTGCACAGTAACCGGCTATCCTTGTAATGATATGGTCGCGTTGACGGGTATAAACAAAAGAATGTGAGCTTTGCTTACGTGGAATTAATACTGATGATGGTAGTGTGAAATGATATTTGTATGAGTGGTTGTTGTAATTGCAATAGTGGCGTTACCAGCAAAATTTTCAAATTTTCTACAATTTCATGATGAGCTAGAAAGGGTGTCGCACCAGATGAGTTGCATACGATTGGTGGTTATGTTATAGAGCAATTTGGGATAAGGTACACCGTCTGTTCGTCACGCTAATTTATTTTGGACCGCATAAATTCGAGCAACTCCTTAGTGTGATACCGATCTTTATCTTACTTTTATTATCTGGGTCTTAATAGATCCTATTTTATACTCGGAAAACGCGACTAGCTGGAGAACAAGTTCATTTGATATTATCTCTATGTGGTCTGACTGTAACATGTCAGGATTCACAAATATAAATGTAAAAGTTAGTTAAAAACATGTTTGTTAATATGGTTGGTTATTAATAATAACTTCCTAATCATAATCAATACAAACAAGACTGCTCGTACCAGGGCAAAACCCTGAATGTTCCGACCGCTTTTAATAATTATGGAGCAGTAATAACATTTAAGAAGTTGAATGAAATGAAACAAAATGAAATTTTTTTTTTCTAAAAATTGAATTTTTTAAATAAAAATCATCCACCCACACGCCATATTAAGTACAAAAGGACAGATTTCGCTCCTTCTAACAAATCAATTATGACAAATAAGCTTCTTTCAATCAATTTGGAACGATTTCTAAGACGGATTAACTCTCCGCTTACGCGTTAAAAGCGCGAAATATATCGCGCGTTAATTGTCCCAAATTGGCCAAAATGGCAATCTTTAAACCCCCGTAACTTTACGAAAAATGATCATAGTTAAAATATCTTTTCAAATTTGAGCTCAAGACAACAAAACCTTTTGAATGATAAAAAAAATTCCGTCAAAAATGGCTAGTTAAAAAGTCGAAATTTGTCTGAAGAAAAAAAACCCACCCCGAGCACAAATATTCCGTTACTTTCGTATCGAAAGTCGGAACAAAAATATAAAGCGTGAAGCGAGATGGAGGATGTTAACGTGATTCTTCATTATCTGATATTTAGCACGTTCTTGAGCACAAAAAAGGTAATATAATCATTCAAAACCTCTAGTTGTTTTTGACGGAAAAAATTGAACATGCTAGCCGTACAGTACATTGTCGAAACTGCTGCTGTTTTTTTCTGATTTAGAACTATAGGTCACTTTTCGCATCTTTATTTGTCAACGCAGATATCCCTGTAGGCTTCAGAAAACAGATGAAACAAAATGATTCTTTTCATGGGCACCATCAGTAAGGAACAAGTTCGATGTCATTGTACATCACACGGAATGCACTGTTAAAATAAATGGCTAATAAAATGTAGAAAAAAGAGTCTAATTAAATTCTTTTGTTGTTGTGTGAACCTTGTGTACCTTTTTTGTAGCGATTGTCAATTAGAATAAAATATTGACTCTGAGAGGAAATTGTTTGCATTTTGTATGTTAATTTGCACCACAATGGAATCACATCGGAACTACAGAGTCAATCAACTCAGCTCCTGTGGGACGTACTACGTATAACACGCGTCCATTAGCCGAAAAGAAAAGACAAGATCACTCTTCCTAATAGACAACTGAAAAATTAAATTCAAGCTGCTCGAATTCTCGGAAAAAAAGTTGACATTTTTGATTGAGTATCAAGGAACTAATATCATGCAATAAATTAACGGCTAAGGAATCGTTTAACAGATCGAGATAACCTAAACAGTTGATGTAACTGGCATAACTCGAGTAATTGAAAGAGTAATAAGTGTTCCCACGGTTTTTCATTTTTCTGCCGTTTCGGCTAAAGTGTAATTTCGTTCTAACGGTTTTTCAACATTCTAGTTTTTCGGCTAAGTCGACTTTTGTCATAAGAGAGGTCATCATCACAAGGGCGAAAAAGCAGAAGTTTCGTTTGATGACAAAAACAAAAACCGATTGAAGATTGAAAAATGTTTAATTTCAATATCAGTTTTAATAAACTAATTTCATTGTCAGTTTTTCAAATTCACTTCCACTCTGGACAAAGGCAACTATAGTTCGAGAAACTGATTTTAAGCAAAATTTTTAGGCATTATTATTTCAATCTCTTATACTCTTTTACTTTCTCGGGACATGATATTTCATATCTTTCAACAAAGACTGATGATATATTTCGCTATCCGGCTTAAAGGAGGAAATTCGTAGATTTCGAAATTAAAGTAGCCAATTTCCGCGAGATAAAAAGCCCAAAGAGGCCAATTAGGCATATTTTTTTATCTCATTTAAAAAAATCCATGACTTTTTGCATACCCATCTGAGCTAGTTTTGTATTTTGCCATGATACTGTTATTGTTTTGGATTCATTACATCTAAAAAAGCAACAAAGGTGAGTCAATACGGCGTTTTAAAGGCCTGAAAAGTGCGAAACAAAGCCTTAAACATACCTTCCATTCATCAAATCTAAGGCTTTGTTTGAAAAATAATACCAAACGGGGGCATTTGTGGTTCTAATTGTAATAATACACCATAATGGTTTCTCCGATAGAGGGAATTTGTGCTAATTTGTCAGTGATAAACAAAAACAAACGCATTTCAGGAAACAGTAAGTCCAAGACAGAGGAAGTGTTTTTACCCTCCACCCCATCCCCGTCCTCCCTTTGCTATTCCTTTTAACAAAACCCCCCAATACCCCAAGCTGCAATTACAATTACGAATAGCACACAGCACGTTTACTTGTAAGGCAATATGCTTTGTTCAATTTATATTATTTTTAAAAACTTGCACTTGCTTGAAATGTATTGTTGACTCATATTTATTGCTTTTTAGACAAAAAAAAACAATTTTCCTCAAATTGTGTTTGCACCAATTGCTGTAAATAAATAATCCTCAGCTTTTCACAGTTTTTACAGTGAAGCGTATTTACTTTCCGTTTTGCTTAATGAGGAAAATATTTCGTCCCGTTTTAGAGTGCTAAGCAACCAATTTCAGTTTTTTTCACAAGCAACAAGTGCATTTTATATTCCCCTTATCGCTCTTCGCTTTTATCAGCACATATGTAACAACACGCTGAAAACGTACCACAAAACTGTTTTTTAAACTAAACATCAGTAGAACAGCCAACCATTAGAAACATTTCTTTTCTAAAAAAAACTTAGTTGTGACATTTAGTTAATAAAATGTGACGCACGAAAGACCAATTTGTGACTTTTTTGTCACGAGTTCCAACGTCATTTCAAAAATAAAAAATAACATTTTTTAAACTTGCGTTAAAATATCTTCTACGCCCTAAGAGAACTGTTATTTATAGCTTTTCTTCAAGCTGTGAATAAATGATATACATAAATGGTAAGTCAAAAAATTCAAATCAATCTTTAAGCAAACCATTTAGAGTGATAAAGTGATTAGTTAGAGAGTGATCAAACTTTTGTGCGTCACAAAGAATCGCAACTGAGGTGGTTTTAGTTTTGGCAGTCTTTAAAAAAGTCTAATCTCGGCACGTCGTCACAACCATGTGACAGTTTGCTATTTTGTACACCTCTTTTTGATTCACGTGGCAAATTGCTATTGTCTGGTACACAAAGTCGTTAAGATACAATTATTTGCAAGTTTCAACTTATTTGGCATCAAAACTTGACCTCTGTTTGGACCTAGATTCATTATGATCACGATCATTCTGCATTAACCGTCTTCTTTAAAAAAAATCTCTACATTCTGACGGTTAATGCCTGTGCACTGTTCTATGTATATGTAGCTCAAGATATAATTCGAAACTTCATGAATTTGAAGTTCTTTTGATCCGACGAGCTAAGGCTAGTTTTCCTTCCACCGTCCAAAATTTGAAACAATCGGACAATGAGAACATAAAAATTACTAGTGATTATTCGCCGGTGTTAGGAGAAAGTGCCCATAAAAATATCATGCAGCATCAGTCAAAGCAAAACTATAATATTTTTTAGCATACGCACGGATTCAACACAATACTACCTTCTAACAAATACGCATTAGAGAAATTATTTATAAATTCAATGAAAAACATCTGCAATTTTCATTGTGTCGGTGATTTAAAAATTAAATGGCAGAAAATGTTGCTAAGCTGTTTTGTAAAAATTACAACCAGAGAACGCATAATTCTGTTGATCACTCAACTTGAACCGAACAATTTTTGATCGCAGCAGCTGGTTGATTCAAACCTGTGACTCAGTTTTATGTTTAAAACATGCAGCTATACAATACTTTTCAATAAAAACCAATAAAACGCAAAAATTGTTCAATTCAATGCTTTCAAGCACTGAACACTACAATGAACTCTCAATTGTAAACTAAAAATAAAACCAATGAATGCAAGCCGTGGCGTTTTTAAACAAGTGTATACCGGCTTTAACACGATTTTTGGAGCACGTGCCAAATGTAAAACTCACATTTGTTGAGATCTGGTTTCAGACCAGAGGCCGCCGCTGGTTTGCTGTGGCAACTATTGCAACTGAATGTTCTTCAGAGTCCAAAAAAGCAACAAAAGGACCTCAGATTATAATCAAAACTATTAACAGATCGAATTGTTTCCTAAAAACAAATTTTTCGGACTCTTTTCTTCGACTAAATGACTGAAGTTTTGACCTCATCACACATGTTTAATTGAGCAGAAAAGCGAGATGCTGAAGTCAAAAAAAGTAAGTATCTGAAACCTTTTTTCAATGGCTTAACTGATTTCAAAACACTTTTCATCAAATCCCAAACCATCCTCAAAATCCAAGAAACGCACACTTTCCAGATAATTAAATTTAGTGAAAAAAAACACTGCGAGAATCATTAGATTATATTAGTAAATGCTGGCTTTCGTTATATTGCTGATGTTGATTTTCTAAATTGATAGGGGTTGACTAATGCCCTTTCAAAAACTACCACGACGGTAAGTTCAACACAAAACTCACTTGCAACGACAAATAAACATTCCATTTCAGAGCTAAATTCTTGATCAGACACATGATCTTTTGTTTGTCATTTCTCAATTTCACCTGGCTTTGTGTGGTCTTGTTAAATTTCATTCAACAATGCTTGCTAACTAGAAACAATATCCAGAGATTTTCGGACGGTTATTGTTATTATTTATATTTGAGCTCCGACAATAAATAGATCATTTAGTCAGCTTTTACTTTTATATTTAGAGCACCCAACGCATTTTTTGAATACTTTTAGAGCATCATAATCATCTCAGTTTCCTTTTCAGATGCCAAACAAAACAACGAATCAAGAAAACAGCCAGATGACGGAAAGCTGCACCAATGAATGAGGGATGAGGGTCGAATCCTAGTAGGATCGCACTTTTCAGTGCCAGCAATACTACTAGGAGCGAGCGACTTTCGATGGCCCAGTCTCAGCCGGATGCAATTAACGAGTCATTATTCGATTACTTAAAAATTAAATTGACTTGACCTTTTGACTAAATCTTCATCATCATACAAGATAGAACTAATCAACTTAATGCCACTTTCGACTTCTAACTTCTTTTCATTTCTCAGATTCTGCGTTTCACTGGAAAAGACAATGGTTTTATCTTTCCTAAACTTACCTCATTGATCTTTTATATTACTTTTTCGTCAATCAAAGAGGGTATTTTCAAATAGCTTCAACTTGATTGGTCGGATTTACTTATCATATGACGTAATCAAGCGTCAACTCTGACTCTCATTGATTGCCTCACATATTTGCTTGCGAGTTCTCTCGGGCCAATCCGATGTCATTTCTCGGACACCCGACTAGACCCAGCAAAGTACCATGCGAACAATGTCAAACATATCAAACGACTCCGTCTAAATATTAGAGGTTGTCGTAGCTCGCCGTTGGTGGTGAATTAACAGTTCTTGTCAATGAACCTAAGGCGACCGAGCACAATTTCTGCGCTTTGACAGAGAGCTTTTGGGTTCACGAAATGTCACGCAGACCGAAACTCGGTGAAAAAAGACTCATCGATCAAACATTGAAATTTTCTACTTGATTGTGGTTTGTGTATATAAGTGAATTGAGCTGAAATGAATTGACCCCGGTGCTAAACTTAACCTTCAATTTTCATTCTAATGAAAAAACTTAACTGTAAATAGATGGATTTTCTTTCGAATATATTCCTAATCAAATTCACCCCAAAGTCAAACTGGTGTGTGGTTGGTTTATTCGTTATTATAGACTCATATTCCTCGAATCTACGAATTTTGATATGAAGATTTAATATTCATTTAATTCGAAATCCTAATGTTCTTCAAATTTATAGCCTATCTAGAAATCAATGAAAATGATGAAGTTGAAAAACCCTTCAATGTGTTGAAAAACAATTTGAAAATACTCATAATTTTCCTAATATTATTTTCTTCTATGGATAAAAGCAAATTTAAAAGCAAATTTAAATTTTATCAATTTTTCTTCAATTTATCATGAAATTTACCTTCTTTGTTATATTTTTAATTAAAGATTGAAATTATACTTTTGGTAAGCTAAGACAAGCGATAGTCAACTCAAGGAAAGCTCCCGGAGGGCCAACCTTAGTCTCATGTTAAAGCCTTTTCAGTCATGATTGAGATTCCTTAAAAAATCACAAAAGTGTTTCAAGGTCGAAAAAACCTGGTCCGACTATTTTCGATTTTCAGACTTAAATAAACAATGTGACACCGAAGCGAACCACAACTTCGCAACAATTGCGATATAGCTCAAAATAAGCTAGCAGACAAAAAATTAGATTAGGTCAAAAAGTTTAACATTCCAAAAAAAATTTATCGCTCAAATCAGTCGAGTATTGATGCCTTGAAGAAAACAAAATCTATGCTTTGGAAAAGAAACTGACAAAAATAGATAAACAATAGTCAGACAATTCAAGTTTTTCGAAAAAAAAAATCAATTTCCACACATCAAAGAAAAACAAAGTCCGACCGGGACTCAAAACCTAGAGCGTATGTTCCCAAGGCTAATTACGCAAACTCAAAGCTCTGTTAGCTAATACTTCTACACATTCTTGCGTATTTTCAAGCGTTATTCAGTCGTCCTCGCAAGAAAAAAGGGTTCATTTTGACGCTCACTTAAGCCCCTGTGAGTTTTTTAGGGCCACAGAAAATTGAGAAGAAGCACCAAAGTTCGTCGTTCCTTCTCACTCTGTACTAGAAAACACGTCTAATTTGAAGAAGTGGTCGAACACTAAAAAAAGAGCCGAGAAAATTTTCAAAACAATGTTGCAAAAAAGCCTCAACCAAAATTTTCACACGTTTGTCTCGCATGAATTTGAATAAAAAGTCCAAACACAGTTTATCTTAAACTGCTATTAAAACAAATCTTAACAAGCGGGAACGAAGTAAAAACTACTCATGTTGAAGAACGCTGAGCCGAAAACATTCAAAACCTCCCAATTTTAAGCACCCTCCCGAACACAATAAAACGATCTTGCATGATCTAACTATAGCCGAAACCATTTAAACCGAAGAAATTTTTGAAGCGAAAAATGCAACAACATGAAAAAACTATATAAAATCTCAGGAGGTAAGACTTACGAATAAAAGCAAACTACCTGCACTTAAAGCAGGGGCGGATCTAGGATTTTCTATAGGGGGGCGGATTTTCAAAAAAATTTCGACAATTTTGTTGACCTTTTTTTTAGGTCGATCAAATTGATCTCCCAAAGCACTAAAAAGACCCTGTTTTGGCCAAACTTTCTGTGCCGCAGGCAAAAATTTGAAAAAGGCCAAAAAAGCGTTTTTTATAGTTTCGACCAAAAAAATCGCGTTTTTTGGCGCGCGCTCCCCCTTCAAAATTTGTATATATTGGCGCCAAAGGCGCCTTTAGAAAAATTTTAGGGTCCGTCAGCCAAAAATGGGTATCTCAAAATAGTACAAGGTGGTTGAATCCCTGAGGTGGGCCTCCGACCCCCCCCCCCCCCCCCCCCCCCTCCCCTCCCTAAACCCGCCCCTGACTTAAAGTAAAAATTGCTCAAATTAGAAAAAAAACATGCATTCGAAAGTTAATGAATACAAAAGCAGACAAACAATAGGCTTCCAAAAAATTCTGTCATACCATGCATGCGCATTACCTCCAGGTGAAACGTGTCAAAAAGTCATTCTATTCGATTTTGATACCGCGTTAGAAAGAGTGTTTACGCAATAATAATTCTACTACCCGATTACAATAACCCTTGACTATAGCAAAAGTTTTAAAAAATCATAATTTAGATGTCAAATCAGAGGCAGCAGAGCTACTCGCCACTTGCGATACATCACCAACATAAAATGTCTAGAAGCGTGGCCAGTACAGTAGAGAAGATTCCCAAAATCGGGTTTCTCGATTGAACACTTAACCTCAGAATTGGCACGGTAATTTTCGAGCAAAGTATAAAAACCTTCAACAAACGGTCAAAGTTTCATAACTTTCACTTGTTTGAAGGCCATAACTTCATCTAAAAGAAACGTGCGTAATAAATAATGATGCTAGCTTCCAACAACCTTTGGTGTCGATTAAACCTATGATGTCAGATTTGGCAGGATGGTTATCGAGAAAAGTCCACAAAACGGTCAACAAATCAAATATTAGACATTTCCGAGAATCATATCTTTTTGTTCAAGGAAAATTTGGACGTAGCCACTTACGCGGAAGATATTCAACCAACCTGTAATTTCGATTGAACCAAAAACCCAGGTTTGGCACGGTAGTTCTCGAGAAAATCGAAAATTCAACAGTAAAAAAATTCACTATTCCGAGGGCCATAAATTTTTGTGTAGAAAAGTGGGGCGTAGCCGTTTATGGAGGGGAGGTATTTTAATTCCGCTCTATTCATTGAAACAAAAATCTAGGTAGGTTAGTTTTTGAGGAAACGAAAAAAAAATCAAGATTATCGGTCAAATATCCACCCACTGACTATTTCCAACGCTGCAGAAAAAAGGAAGAGTAAAAAAAACAGACCAGAGGAGTATGCAGGCAAACAAAAATGTAGACGGTGTTTCTATGGATACATTTTTTGGAAATGGGTAGAAGGGTTTTTGAGGAAAAAAAAACTAATTTTTTGCATAAAGTGTCTCAAAAAAATAAAATAAAAAACCCAATCCAAAACATTTTTCTTAATAACTGTTTTTATCAATCAGGAATTTCAGGAAAACATGCCAAGCAAGACATTAGAAATTCAAAACATAGCCAACTAACAGTGGGAAAAGAGTAACGAACGCAAAGTAACTGAAAAAAAACTGCATTTTTTTTAAAAAAGAACCTTCAACTTCTGATTTTCGAAGAAAAAATAGATAAGCTTAAGGCGCCTTAAAATTAACTCAATTTGAGAAAACTATATCAATAGGTAAATTTTGCTGGGAAATCTGATTATTAATTTCCATTTTCGAAATTAGAAGTCAATCACGTTTTTTTTACCTTGCTGTTCCAATTTTGCTGTTCGATAATGGAGTTTGCCCTCCTTTTAACAATAGAAATGCACTGAACTTGAAAAGAAATCAGAAGTTAAACAGCAAAAAATCTTAATTGAGCGTGAACAAATTTTAAGACTTTTTCCTGAAAAAAAATCAGTAAGACCTATATAAGAGTACTCACTACGTTCATTACTCTTAATTATCAACAAAAAAAAACTTATGAATTGCAAACAAGGCCGACAACGTTTGAGCAAACACGAATTGAGCCGAAGAAAAAACTGATTTTGTAATTAACTGTAAGAAGTTTCAAGTCCCCTGAAACTTCACTCTGGAAACTAGTACCCACCCAGTAGTCAGGTTTGAATTTTTATGAAATTGAGAATGTCAGCTGCATAGCAGCATCATAATTGATTCAACAGCTGTTAACCCAAAAAAAGTCAACCATCCGATTTGATAACGATTGCTAACGGCAGGCGCAATAAACATTTAAAACTATGAACCGAGAGGCGATTCAGCCTACAAAACTTCGGTAGATGCCCGTTCAGTCGAAAACAAAAATAGCCGAAAAAATTATCGTTGCCATAAAAAACTAAGAACTACTAAGTTTTCCAACGCAAAGACTCCTCACCTCTATCACATTTGACCTTTCCCAAAACACAGAAAAATATAGAAGTTCATTATTGCTCTTCAAAGGATGAAATATAAGATGACTAGGTGATAAAAAATAAACTGAAACTATTTCCACGAAAAAAAAACATCCAAAAAAGTAAATTAATCAAAAAGGTAAAATTGCAGACAACAATCAAAATTGATTCGATCAGAAGACTTAATGCTTTGGATATCAAACTGATCAATAATAATCAATAATTCAAGTTTTCCCAAAAAATAATTTTTAAAGTTTTCCCAAAAAATAATTTTTATTTCATGCATATCGAAAAAAAATCAAACAAAGTAAGCTAAAATGAGATCTATGTGATTCGACCGCGCGCCGAGCCAGTAAGCCTTGCTCACACTTATTAATTGAGCAATAGCTCATTTTCTTATTTTACACAGAAATACACTTTTGAAAAAAAATCCAGAATGCTTTTTACGCCATTTGCACTTGAAGTAATTTAGATGACATCAAAATTCAAGCCGCAAAAACGAGTAAATTTAGAGTGAACAAAACATAGAAGGGACATTTCCCTAATAAAAACCAAATTACCTAAATCAAAGTCCATCAAACTAATTTCGTTCATCAAACTTAATCAGCATACGTTACAACAAAAAATCTTGTTTATTTGGAGAACAACAGTCTTGTTAATTATCACCGGTGAAAAGCTAACATGAGAAATCTTCACTTCTGAGAACAAAAAAAAGCATGCTATTTGTTTTTTCCTTGTTTATTTTCAGTCATGGCTCAAAGGACGCTTATGAGGCCCCTCCGTCCGTGATCCCGCCGCCCTCACCAGAACAGACGAGAACGGGACCAGACTCAAAGACGCGGTGACCGACAAACAGAAGGCAGACCTCTTCTGCCAGCTGTACGCAGAGATCTCTAGAGTTGACAGGACCAGCGAAGACAAACGGGTCAACAGAGAAGCTGCGAAGACCCTGAAGAGTGACTGTAACTGCAACAAGGAAGGAGCCTGCAGCGTCTTCACGCTACGGCAGGTTAATTTGGCCATCAAGAACCTGAAGAAAGGCAAAAGCCCCGGCCCCGACGGCGTGGGCAACGAAATGCTGAAGCAGCTCCCCGACCCGGCGCTCAAG